CTTACTGAACTTTATTTTAAATAAAGCTATGTATGGTATTGCGTAGCATTTTCATAATGCGTATAAACGTATACAACTGAATTAACAGCAGTCGTAATAGCCCATTTATGTGTAGGTGTCTAGAGAGAAAATTTGAAGATGATTCGATAGGAATACCCGTACACAATTCATGAAAGATCTATTTAGAAATAAACATCAGACAAATTTAAAACGATAGACTCAAAGAATTTTCGATGAATATGCTACAGTTAATTTGATTTCTAGACCATACCTATTTGTGTCGAAGCATATCTAGCATTTCAAATTATAGGAATAACAGTGTATCGCGCAAGAGTTAAAAGAATTGAAAGCAAAATGTCCTCTTTGTTAACAATAGCTGTTACGAGGCAAAGACGGATGACTACGTGCGCACTTTCACAGATATGGAAAATTTGATTACGCAAAAAGTTACGTCGGTAACTCACCCTGCGAACAGATAGAAAGAGTCCTTAGTTAATTATGATCTTTATATTGAATGTTTCTCATTGCAGATCATAATTACCAATTCGCAGCTTGCCACGTGCAAATGCAATTGCTCAGATTTGTCTGCAACCGCGTGAAGACCCTTAAGACTGCCCGTCTCCTTACCAAGTACCCTTTCAAGTACCATGTGGAAGTAGTAATCTATAAATCCCACTGAAAGGAGGATGCCAGTAACTAAACGCATTCCATACCCTTCGCGGTAAGTAAGCCTACGGTTTACACATTACGTAATGTAAGCCACAAAACCATCTATCTTCTCTATCACGTACGGCTTGTGTTCAAATGTAATTTGGATTTTCATATAGAACGCACCGTGTATAAGAAACACGTAGCGTTCCATAACGTTTATGTAAAAACGAAAATAAAGCGCGCTTTTATAAACAATTACTTTGTAGAGAAAGTTAAAGAGACAGATCACCTGTACATGATGATGTATCAAGAGCTTCCTTCACTTGCAAATTGACAATCGAAATGCCTCGTTATTATCTTTAATAAATAATGCAAAATATTGAAGAGAGCGTGTCAAATTCGTTCGTTTAATGAATTAACTGGTCTCGATGCAAATATATATTAACAACATTAAGTCATCTCGCTCGATATAAAATACTTAAACTTTGCTGTACAGTTACAGGTATATGTGATATCTTTTTGCTTTTGGGATCAGAAAGTTTCCAGTTACAGACATCCTTCTGTTCGACGTTTTCATAGTTATTAACATATTAATCCCATTTTAATCTCCAATGAAATCTCCTTTTCCTTGGTGGAAGCTATAATTACGCAAGATTAGTGAAACATTCAAGGAATGAGAATAATTTGTACAGTTTTAACACAACATGTACTGTAATGCAACATGTAATTGCTATATTATATATTCATCCTCCATTTTACTCTTATGATCTCCTAACTAGGGCTATTATGACTGCATTATTTCTATGAGGATTTATTTTTCTTTCCTGCAAAAATCTTAATGAAATGAGAATTATCATTGCTTTACGGGCTTAATTGATTCTTCTATAAAAAAAAATTGGTTGTTTTACAAAAAATTAATATATGTATGTATGTTTAGTTGTTTGTTACATTATTCCATAAAGGATGATATGCTACTATCATTATTTCTTTCAACCATAAGTACTAAAAATCAAAATAAAAACGGAAAGAAATTATAGTAATTATTTCAATAAGAGAAATTCTTGATACTTGTGATGTTATTAAATGTGTTGGTTAAGTTTTTTTTTTTTGCACACACAAAACTGCAAATAAGGGGTAAAATTTATTTCTGAATTAATTTTAATTTGACAGAAATCTAATTAACGTTTAACTTTCAAAATTTAATATTGAAAAATATTTGTAATTAATTATCACAACATATCTCTTGCTGAAGTTTCGTTAGAAGAAAGAGATCGTTCCAAATTCATCAGAGAATCTGTTTATCATCGTCAAGAATCTTTAAAGAAAAATGGTAGTGGCACATTACTCTACGTATACATACGAACAGTTCATTATACCGTGTATTTTACATTAGATCCGACGGTGGTAGTAGCGAGAGCCCATTGCTCGTGGAAGAAGGTGAGACAGTCGGTGCACCTCACAGTCCACGCAATATACACAGTCACAGCCATTCACATGGCAATCCACACCGATCTCACAGTTATCATCATGAAAAGCCCAAACAATTAGTGAAATACGGTGAACTAGTTATACTTGGGTAAGGATTCCCAGCAAATAAAATGGATAATGTAAAAAGAACAGAAGATTAATGACTAATGAATCTTTCTGACGACTTTCACAGGTACAATGGTTACCTTCCACCTGGTGATAGGGGAAGAAGGAGAAGTAAATTCGTATTATACAAAAGACCCGTGCCAAATGGTGTTAAGCGTAGCAAGCATTACATCGTTAAAACGCCCCATAGTTCGCAAGCCATCCTCAACACGAAGCAGCACTCGATTTCGTACACACTTTCTAGAACACAGGCTGTTATTGTCGAATATACAGAAGATGAAAAAACGGATATGTTTCAGGTAAGCCCGAAATATTTTATGGACTACAGAGTTATTATACCCACAGTATGTATGTCCACGATACATATTCTGTTACAAAGTTTCTAAATTTTATTAAAAAATTGCATTTTTTATGAGATTTTTGTTGTATTTATTAATTATTCAAAATACATTTTACTAAAGTAATACAGTCTTTATAGCAATCATATACATATATTTTTTAAAAATATCTCTAATAAATTTCTCTTGATATTTGGGAGAAATGACCTCCATCGAAATCTTCTGTACTTCACAATTTCCGAAATTATTAAAATGTTGTCCTTTCAGCTTCATTTTCGACTTGGAAAAAGAAAATTATCATAAAAAGCTATATCAGGCAAATGCGATGGATGATCAAGCTTTAAGACTACGTGTTTACTCTTTGTTCCATTATTTTTCTTGATAAGTGTCAAAAACATACTTTCACTTTTGACGTCACTGCAAACAAATAATATAACGTAGTAAAAAGTAACTCTACAGAGTTAGAAATAAAATTTTATAGAAAATAATTCCATACTATTTCAGTAGATAGTTTTAGTTACATAGTCTGTAGAAATAAGTTCGGAAACTTTTGAGACAGACCCTGTATACAGCTGGTGCGCAGCAATGTATATATTTAAGTCATATATATTTGTAGATCGGTCGTTCGTCCGAATCGCCTATCGATTTTGTAGTGATGGACACATGTGCGGGCAGTGGTGACGGTGGTCCCGCTAATGAAGGACGTGTCGCTCAAAGCACTATCAGCAGGTTCGCTTGTCGGATCCTGGCAGATCGATCGGATCCCAGAATCGCTAGAATTTATGCTGCAGGCTTTGATAGTTCAAGAAACATTTTTTTAGGGGTGAGATTCGCAATTTACAATTAACTGGGTGACCTGATACACTTTTGGCAAACGAAACTTAATAAATATTCTTACACAGGAAAAGGCAACTAAATGGCAAGAGAACCGTGAGATTGATGGACTTACGACAAACGGGGTTCTAATAATGCATCCGCGGGGTCAGTTCTGTGGTGGCGAGGCGCAATGTGGTTTCTGGCGGGAAGTTAGTGTAGGCGGCGGAGTTTTCTCGCTCAGAGAAAGTAGGAGCGCTCAACAGAAAGGCAACGTCGTAGAGGACGAGAGTAACGTTCTACAAGATGGTACTCTGATTGACCTCTGTGGCGCCACTTTACTTTGGCGGTCGGCCGAAGGTCTCGCGAAGTCTCCGGTAATTTATATCGTCTTTAGAAAAATGTATAAAATTATATATAGTTTATATTGGCTAAATGCACATTTTTTTCTCAGACAAAACAAGATCTAGAGGAATTAGTTGATGCTATAAACGCCGGCAGGCCGCAATGTCCTGTAGGCTTAAACACATTGGTTATACCACGTAAAGCGGCTTCGGATTCGACGCAGCAGCAGCCATACGTTTACCTTAAATGCGGTCATGTACAAGGACATCATGATTGGGGCCAGGAAAAGGATAAAGTTACGAGAAGGTGTCCCATGTGCCTTGTCGCAGGGGCGGTAGTAAAACTGTCTATGGGAATAGAGCCTGCCTTCTATGTAGACTGCGGACCGCCCACTTATGCATTTAGTCCCTGTGGACACATGGCTACAGAGAAAACTGTCAAGTTAGTAATGCGCGTCAGTCACTAATCGTTCACACTTTTGAAAATATGTTATATAGATGTATGATAAATTATTCAAGTATGTACTCTCGTCTCTCCCCATTTTCCTTATTTATCGTTTGTTCTCTTTTGCAGATATTGGGAGAAAGTAGCCATTCCACATGGCACAAACGGCTATATCGCGATCTGTCCCTTCTGCGCGGTACCGCTCGAGGGAACGCCAGGATATGTAAAACTAATTTTTCAGGATAATGTAGATTAAAAATATAAAATAATGGAAACATGTAGAAATTAATAACTTCTTAAGAAATATAAGGATTATTGAACTCAATGAAGAGAAAGGAAGTTTTTCTCATTGTTAATCATTCCTACTTGGCCACATCAGATGGGTTGATAATGCCCCTTAATTAGAAGTTAGATGGAGTGAGTCTCTAAACGCGAGAAATGTGTATATGGGATACAGGTGGAATTGAATCCAGATCAGATTACGAGTCGACCACCCTGGGCCTGAAGCCACCCGTGTCATAGTGTCGTTGCACAGATTTTGTATGTGGTAAAAAAGCTACCTGACATATAATGCTACAGTTACAACAGTTACAGTCGTTAAGAGTTACAGAATAGACTCATTATGTAAAACTGTTCGTGATTAATTAGTAATTAATTAGATTGATCAATAACAGCAAATTTCACCAGAAGAATTTGGCGATACTAAAAAACTTATTACTTTTGTATACGATTTGCAAGTAAAAATTCTGATATTGTACATTTACATAGAACTGAAAATATTACTAAGAAATGAAAGAAAACTAGACACAAGAGATATAAGTTTTTAATATTTTATTGCCAAAATACACGAAAAGTAATGCTTACTCGTTCTCTTCCGAACGTAAGCGTGCACTGGCATTTGTTACACGTATCGAAAGTTGTTGAGCACGCTCGACAATGAGTTTCCTCTTCTTACTGCTAACAGCATGTGCAATCTCTGCGCAAAACTTGCGATTTTGCATCATTAAAACTTCGAGTTCCTGTAAAGAATCAAGTCTTTGTTTACACTGTGTCAAGAGATGCATAAATAGAAAGTAAAATTATGCAGAAGGTTCAGACAACACATTTGTTTTTTATGTGTAATAATAATTCTAATTTGTACAATGCAAAATGCCTTCAGATCTGATTTTATTGAAACCATGTTTTAAAAAATTTTTTTTAATTCAATTCATGGGCATTTTAATAAATAATTCATACTAAATAATTTTGACAATTTTTTCAACATATACATTATTACGTACATTACGTCTCAGATGATATCAATAGAATTAAATAATTTCAATAGATGTCTTCAAATTTAATATACATTACAATGTTTGCAGGATTGAAGGATTAAACACTAATATTTTAAACTGTAATAATGAAAACTTTTCAAATATTTGGAAATATATATTCATATTTGTATTTCCATATCACAAGAAAAGAAATGTGATAATAATAACAAAAGTTAATACTAAATTTTAAATGCTTTCCGTTTAGACCTAGGTGCATCAATATCACCTTGACTTTAAGCGAGACTTAAGACTATCTATCTCATAAAGCCAAAAAAAGACAAGCGTCAGAGAGTTTTAAGCCTCACTTAAAATCAAAGTAACATTGGTGCAATCGAGCCTTAGTGATATAAGTTGACACAAGCATTATTCTGTTTCTTAACATTCACTGAATAACAACGATAGAACATTTGTCAAATTGTCATCAAATAGAAAAGCATTCTTTAGTAATTGACTGAGGCATTGTTTTATATACAATATAAGGTTTCAATTAATTAAGTTTTAAGATTTTTTGAAGTGACATTTACCTTTACATTATGTACAAGAACCTTGCGGAAACCAGTTGGTAACATGTGACGCGTTTTCTTGTTGCTACCATAACCAATACTAGGCATTAAGTACTGGCCCTTGAAACGCCTGCGGACTCTATTATCGATACCTTTCGGTTTACGCCAGTTGCGCTGCAAAATATATGCAATACACATTATTTGTATATATACCTTTTAAATTATTTTATAGTTAATCCGAAAGATCAATCTCTCTCAAAGAATAAAAGTTTAAGTAATTAAGTTGCATAAATATGTAACGTTTCAATAACAGTGTGCAGAAATTAATGCTATAATATACAAAGTGTAGGCAACATAACCAAACTTTACAAACATGCTCACTCGATTGAAAAGGATAAAACAGAAGATACCCACCTTGAGTTTATTATATCTATCACTCTGATGCCTGATAAACTTCTTCGTTCTTTTTTTTACGATTTTGGGTCGATAAACCGGTCGGATAGACATTTTGAGTTCTACTTAGCGTATCACTGAAACAACAGATAGTAATCGAGTCACTCCAATCATAAATGTTTTCACTTATACCTCATGCCTAAAAATATTGCACTTTCGCACTCCAGAAAATCATCAATAATTAATCAGTTATTACATTACGTTTGCGTCATTAACGATTATTACGAAAAATGCGGATTCTCCGTGTGATACATACCCGCTGCAAATATGTCGAAAAACAGAAGGGCAGAAAAAGATTTTGCTTCCTGCGCGCCATCTACTGCATATTGGACCGACTGGACGTGATTAGGGTGCAATCACATGTAGCTCAGAGTGTGATAAGCGATAAGGTATATTTTCACAAGCCGCTCAAACTAGGCTGTGTTCCAAAATTCACTGCTTGCCGAATGAGCACGATTGGTTCTTACCTGTGGATCCAACCAATCATGTTTAATTGATCGGCAAGCAGATCTACAACGGGATTCTCTAAATGTTTTCTCGATAATATGGGCCAATTTCACTAACGCTAGTTAGCTTAATCGGCCGTTGACTGACTAATCGCATTTGCTGTTTAGTAGAATCGATCAATTGCGGTTGACAGTTAATTACGATTAAGCTTGATCGGCGTTGGTGAAAAACCGGTCCTATCATTAACTAGAGTCCTAGATAAATCAGAATAACATAACACATAAGGCACACAAATTCAACCAATCAGAGTTCTTTATTTTATGGAAAGGAAGGAAACGCGAAGGATTTTGATTGATACATTTTCTTATGTAGGAAAGAATCAATGGCTGCGTTCAACAGAACGCGATAGTTTTGCAACCGTTTTATGATTATCTGTTAGATAAGATCATTCCTTTATAGGCCGTCTACAATAAGCCGCAAGTCAGAAGTTCTAAGCGATCTTAAGTCATAATCGGTGAAGTTGGCCAATAGCCAACTTGAACGACTTGATTAAAACTGGTTAAGACTTCTGACGTTCTGACTTGTGGTTTATTGTAGAAGGCCTATTAGATCTGAAAGTATAATCTAATCAATGCAAAGAAAACTTTCAACAGTTGCAAAATAAACGTTCTGCTGAACGCAGCTATTTTATCTTCATTTTCCATTAAACAAGGATAGTATAAGACGAATAGCGTTGATAGCGCGCTCCCCGAACGCAGCGCCAATACCTCTCTCGTCCGCCGCAGCACGGCGCTTCGAGAGGCGATTCGCGCTTCTTTTGTTATTTCAAATTTTCGTCGCGTCGGTTGACGAGTTCGTTATCGCGCCTCTTTTGTTATTTCAAATTCGCGTCGCGACGGTTGACGAGAATGGCGAGTTCGTTATCGCGGACGATCGCGGAGTAGAAATCGTTCGAATCGCGTCCGCGCGTTTAATAGTCTGTGATCGCGGTCGATTTCCGGAAGCGGATTCCGCGTGCGGTCGAGATGTTGTTTCCTCGTGATGTTTTTTCCGAACCGAAACGCGTAAGATATCGAACGCCATTGAACGCCATAACGAAGGTGCCGTGCGACGACATCGTCCAGGATGATCTTGTCTTGGAATCGACGGGATCCAGACGACATCCGCCATCGAATCCTTTCCACAGCGAACAACGTAGGTATCACGAATGTTGCCAGGTAGGCGTATTACCTTCTGGAATTAACATTGTTAATATTTTTGCTGGAGTTTGGTCATACTTGTCCTTCACGTCTTGAAGATTCGATCAACCGTTAACGTTGAAATTGTTCAAATTACAAAATTTCAACCGTTGGAATTTAGAGCGATGGGCCTTCTACAATACAAGGGGGTAACCACTAGCTAAAATATTGTCCCACAGATTACATGATTTCATCTGATTACAAATAATTTTTTTCACTACTATGAAGTAATTTGGTAAAATATACGATTTTATCTAATATTATACAATGATTTCTCGTGGTTGCATATATAATTATCGGATTATACATAGAGATTTTATATAAATTTTATAATGTTTTCAAGGATTCTGTCCCACGATTACATTAAGTAGTTATCCCCTCGTTACAATAAGCCGCAAGTCAGAACGTCAGAAGTGTTAACCAGTCTTAATCAAGTCGTTCAAGTTGGCTATTGGTCAACTTCACCGATTATGACTTAAGATCACTTAGAACTTCTGACTTGCGGCTTATTGTAGAAGGCCTATGATATATAAATCTATTGCTTTAATTGCTTATTTAAGTACATTTTCACGTGCTGCTAAAATGAATAATTTTGTTGCTTATCCAACGGCTGAAATTTTGTAGTGTTTGAACAGTTTCAACTACCAGTGTCAAACGCTATTAACAGTGCCGACATACTGTATCGACCGTGTTGACCATCATTAACTGCGATATACATAATCTAATTTATTTCTTTTTTTTATTGCTGATCCAGATAGAGGATTCAATGCAATCAGAATAATCTAATATAACTGTTTATTATTAATTCATCGTATTAATATCGCAAATGATGCATGAAAAATACAAACAACATATCGAATCTGTCGCTCAAATGTCAAATTTAACGCTTCTTGCCCTTTTTCATGTATAAAATTGTCGCTCTAATAGTTTTGCGATAAAAATCGTCACGCGATCTTTTTTACGGAAATATTCTTTTGAGTTACGATGTTGGTAACGCTGTAAATAACACAGCTTTAGGCGCTTAGGCATATTTTCGTTATCCAACCAGAAGTGACCGCGGCCATTTTCGTTTGTGGTTTAAGTCTTTATTTTATGAGATCTAAATTCACTGCGAATAAAATGATCTATAATATAATCCTGAATTGTGAGCAGCATATGCTATGTCAAAATGATACTGGCAATATCCAGATGTCAGAAGATCCAGAAAACTCAGGGATATTCTAGTGTATGAGAGAGATAAACTAAGTAAGTATATTAGAAATATTATTTAACCAAGTTTTGTATCCTCAATTTGTCGTCTAATAAATTTTACTCTATTTTCAGACAATTCCATTTTGATCGTTCCAAACAATGAAAAATACATCAATTCTTGTCGCATGTGCACCTTAAACAGGAGTATGATATATTGTGGACTTGTCGTCCTGATAAAAAGTTTCGACAGGCATAACTCTATAATAAACCGTTTGGCTTCTACAAAGCGTCACATTTCAAAACGGGTTAATTCTACAATATTTTTAACGAGTATATTCCTATGTCATTATTCACACTTTCTAGGTATATTTTGAAGTAAAAAGTCTGATTTATAAGAAGTATCGAGTCAATACTATCCTTATAAATTTTTATTTAAAAATGTACATACAGAGTATAATTAATGACATAGAGATGCACTGTACTCGTTGAAAATAAGATATTGTAGTATTAACCTGTTGAAAAGTGACGTCTTGTAAAAGTGAAACGGTTCATTATAAGGAGCCTGTAGAGATTTTTATCAGGACGACAAGATCTACAACATATCACATTTTCAGCCAATTCCACCTTCAATTTCCATAAGGTTTGTGCGGAGTCCTTTCCAAGTAAAGTCAACATTTTTATTATTAAATAATATTTTAAAGAAGAGAAATCCTATATTCGGTTAAAGCAGATCTCAGTATTTAAATGCATAATTCTTTGTGAATTTATAACATTCTGATTCTGTATACCGCATGTAGGACCAAATATAGGATTCCTTTATTTAATTAAATTTATTCTCCTTGAATAAATTCCAATCTCTAGTCTGATCGCAGTTTACTCCGATTTTAGGCTTTGTGTTATCTGGATTTGTTTCTGGAAAAATATCTTTATCAAAAAAAAAGGGTAAATTCTTCTTTATTTTTCTCAAGATTATGTATTGCTACTTTAATCATGACAACCAGATAATACATAATAAAATATAGAATAGGAATGTTTTCTTTCTCTTTTTCTATGGTACAATATACAGGGAATACACTTAAAGGAAATAAAATATTTTTATGATAATTATAATAAAAAAATGTTTCTGTAATCATACAATTATAATAAGAGAAAATCAATATTTTTATAATAATTAAGGCGGGAATTTGTAGCACATAAAGAACCAACGATACTCGACGATATTATAATAGTGAATAATTTTAATAACGATGAAAATTATGTACATATTTACAGGCTTGTAAACACTTATTCGTAATATTCCACGTATATAAGGGCCTTACTACTACTTCGTATGAAACGCTTTTCTACTCGATTAACTGATATAAACTCAATGTTTCGCGCGGATCACGCGGCTGTCACTTTCGCGCCTCAACGAGCCTCAACGAGCCTCAACGCACTCGAAAATGCATTGAAAAATACTTTCGCGTCTATACGAAAAATATATCGAAAGAATATACTTTGAGCGTATCGAATGCTGTGTGTTTGATTCAGAAATAATAATGTAAGTGCGCCGCATGACTCATATTTTTATCCTGGAAAGAGTAAGAAATATCCTAATTTTTTATCTAGCCTTATCTTTTACAAATTGACATAAAAAGAGAAATATATATCAAGAGATACAATTAAAAAGTCTATATATATTTCAAGATATAATTTTAAATCGCAAATTGAAAATAGATCGTCCTCTTGTTTTGTACCACTTTCGAAAAAAAATAGTATATAAAAATTTATAGGTAATATAAAGGAGAATGCTAAAAAGAGGTCGATTTTTGCCCATAAAAAGGTGTAAGTAAAAGGTATAGTGTTTTTTTAACGACCTCTTAAATACGATAATGTTAATAAAAAATTCGGGATCGATAGGGAACACTTTAAAATTGAACATGAACATTTAAATAAATTTCAATATTCTTACTTCTTTTCAAGGTGTTACCCAAATGCCACGAACTTTTTAATAATTTTATTTTATTAATTATTTAATCATATTCAGAAGATAAAAATCTACAAAAAAAAAAACACTTTTTTTACTTGCATTCTTTTAGACAAAAGTCGAACCTTTTTTAATATACTTTAAAAAGGGCAAATTTTCGCCTAAAAAGATGTAAGTAAAAGAAATAATGTAGATTTTAACCTCAATTTTCAAGGTGTTTTCTATCGATCCCGAACTTTTTATTAACATTATCGTATTCAGGAGGTCAAAGTCTATAAAACGCTATTCCTTTTACTTACACCTTTGTGAGCAAAAATCGATCTCTTTTTAACATATTTTCTTTTGTTAAAGAGTGCTTTCAAAAAAGGAAAAGAGCAATGTGCTTTTTTCTCTTCTATATATTTTCGCATAGAAGACTTATAAAACTTATATATATAATAACGAATTATCTGACAATTCATCTTCTGTCATTCAGCCGCAGAATAAG